CGTTCATTTAGTAGTCGTTTTGTTGCGAAGTAATTTAAGTTTTTGTGATCTGTCCAGATAGTGAATGGTTTTGCAACAGAATTCAACTCTGCTTTCCATTCCTTAAGACAAGCTACTATTGCGAGCATTTCTTTGTCGTGTATTGGATAATTCGCTTCGGCACTATTAAGGCGCTTTGAGAAATAAGCTATAGGCCGTAATCTGCCGAGTTTGTCTTTTTGCGAAAGGCATCCTCCCATGGCATATCCTGAACAGTCCGCTTCCAAAATAGTCTCTCGGTCTGGGTCCCACTGGGCTAATACAGGTTCTGTTGCAAAGATTCTTTTTAGCTCATCGAAAGATTTTCTTTCTTCCTCATCCCACTTCCAAGTTGACTTCTTCCTTGTTAACCTAATTAGAGGCGCAGCTATGTCTGAAAATTTGCTGATAAAACATCTGTAGAAGTTTGCGAACCTGTTTTACTTGGTATATGAAATGGGAATGTACACTTGCGCTGGAACAGCTAAGACAGTATGTGGAGAGATGTCTTCATTAATGTGCAGAAGTGAAGTGACTATGATAATTATTATGTTACAGATTTGGGGGAAGCTCGTCCCTTATCCCCTAGCTTGTTTCCCTGTAGACCAATCACGTTACCAGTATGCAGCTCACCAAAGTGTGCAACCAACTGAGCAGCCATGCCATTTATCCTATATCAACAACCCATCTCTCATACTGCACACATTCCTACTTGTAATGTCTTTATGTAGAGACTGGATCTCCTTCATGTGCCATGATGCCATGCTGCCATAATAACTACCTATGCACCAGCTACTAGATCTACCATACTACATAGCTGAGCATAACAGAACCCTAGGAAAGACCTTACTCCAGACACAGTTACTGGGGCCTTCCACTCAAGTATGGCTTTGACTTTCGATGGATCGACAGCAACACATTCACCGGCTTTGACAATAAAACCTAAATACTTCACCTCTTTGCAAAGAAATTCGCATTTTTCGATGTCTAAGTATAACCCTGCATCCTTTAGCTTCGAGAGAACATTCCGAACTATCTCCCAATGATTATCCTCACTTCCATTGGTATACACCAAAATATCGTCCATGTATACAGTAACATCCACGTCCAGATGATTCCGTAACTTTTCATTAATGTACCGCTGGAATGAGGCTGGCGCATTTATTAACCCGAAAGGAGTCACCAGCCACTCAAATAGTCCTAGGCGACACCTAAAAGCTGTCATCCACTCGTCTCCTTTCCTTATTCGGAGGCAGTGGAAAGCTGATTTGACGTCCAGTTTTGTGAACCATCTGGATTTAGAAAGCTGCCGTAATGTCTCCTTAAAAAGTGGGAGAGGGTAGCGGTCCGGAATCGTTATTGCGTTTAAACCACGGTAATCCACACAAAAGCGAAGGCCGCCATTAGGCTTTCTCGCAAATAGTACCGGGGATGCTGCCGGGGAACTGCTCGGTCTTATCCATCCTTTCTCTAAAAGGTCTGTAAGGGTTTTACGCAACACTAAAAGCTCCTCTCGAGACATGCTGTATAGAGGCCCCCATGGGGGTGTCAAAGGCTTTCCATTCTCATAACAAAGGTTGATTGCGTGATCTAAGTTATCTCTCAATGGGGGCAAGTTATTTGCTCCGGTGCTATCAGCAAAAAGTTGGGCGAAGTCCTTTACTTTTTCCGGTAGACAGTCTTTGGCGTCATTTTCCGAGAGAATTGGTTTTTTACGGAGTGCTTTACTTATATCCTCTATTGTAATTTTGCTGATCGGCACTGAGTTGCTCATCGACATCAAATCTTCAGTTGATGAATATTTTGGATGGGGCACTTGTCTCAAATTTTGTCTCCATCTCTGAACACTATATATATTCATGTTTCCTTTTCTGAGCTCAAGACGTTGGTCCTTTGAATGAATTATTGCGTCTTGGCCTTCAAGCCACTTTTTTCCTAGAATCATCTTGTGTGTGCTTGAAGGAACGACATACAGCCAAAGTTTAGGTATATGAAAGCCATCGAGGTCGAGCGATAGGTGGGTTATGTATTTAACAACAGGTTTAGTCCTCGAAGAATTCTCTGCTGTCTCAAGGGCTCGTGGGGGTATTATTATGCGCGGCAAGTTCAATCGTTCAGTTAGTTCATCACTAATGATTCCAGAACACAGGCATCCATTATCTACTAAGGCTTGCACCATAAAAGTATCATTTAACAATGCATTAATTAGAAATGGATCTGTATTCAACCTAACTTCTTTATTATAACTTGTTTTGGGCTCCCGTGCGCAACTGTGTACAGGAGCTTCTAGTTTTCCGACCCGCTCAAATATCCCCTTACCGATCCTTTTTGTCCTTCTGGGTCGATCACTGAGGGGTCGATCTCTGGTAAACTAGCAAGATTGATATGTATATTCGCTTTATTCGGATTTCGTGCGGGCAGAAGTGGGCATTTTCTTGACGAGCAACCCACCCTTTCGCAACGAAAACATTTCCTCTCTGCTCTTAATTGATCTAGCTGTGCATGGGTTTTCCACTTGGCACGCTGTCTATCCGTGCTTGTTATACCAGCCGCATTTATTCCACCCATAATTACATTGCCAGATGAGTCAGTCGGACTTGTATTTTCCCGAGGGTTTTTATTGCCATTGTTCGCATAATTTGCCGGTCCTGTAGCAGAATAGCTGTTACTTTGGCGTATTAGGACAGGTTGATTCTGTCCCACCCAGTTGTCTGCCATTTCCAGCTGTTGCGCTACCTGATTTACCAGTCTAATCCAGACATTGAAATTGTTATAGGGCAAGTTAGTATTTCCTGCAAGAGCCAGTATCAAATCCTTGTTTAGGGCGTTCCAGAGCATTGATATCTTGTTAGTATCGTCCCAAAGATCTCCTTGTGCCTCTGTCAATTTGTTTGTCCAAGATGCAAAAAAATCTGGCCACCGCTGTCTCTCAGACATCTTCATGGCCTGCAGTTCCCTACCTGCCCTTACAGCCTTTAAGGGATCGAGGTATAGCTTATCTAAGAACTCAATGAAGTCCTCCGGCTTTCTAGTTCCGTGCACTCCTCCAACCTCGTAAAATGAGCCGGCTTTGTTTAATGCTGAGCCTTTAAGCGTGGTGTATATCATTACAAATGCCCTCGAATCGTCGATACCGAAAGCGTTCCAGTCCATTCTAAAAATATCTAGGACTGCTGTTCTCCACGATGAATAGTTGCCCTTATTACCATCGAACTCTGGTAGCTTAGTCGGCTTCAGTCCTTGCCCCCCTGTAGGTGGATCTTTTTCGATGATAACCTGTTCGAATTGCATTGGCTGTTGCCTGGCCAAGTTAGAAGCCTGAAGTTCGTTGATCTTTTTTTGCATTTCAATTAATTCTTGCTTTAATGACTCGTCTGTCATAGTGGAATGAAACAAATTTACTGAAATAACTGAATTTACTGAGATAACTGAATTTACTGAGATAACTGAATATACTGAATTTTATCGAGATGACTGAATATACCAAGATAACTGAATATAGTGATAATACTGAGATGACTGAAAAAACTGAGTTTACTGAATTTGCTGAACAGTCAGACTTTCCGATTGTGAGAGTTAGTAAATATGTAACAGTTCCAATAAATAAAGCTTGGGCTTTCATATGTCGAAAGGTAAGTTTATTTACTAACTGAAGAACAAGACTACTGCTACACTCAACGCCCTATTTATATACATGATTCCAATATTTCAAACACTAGTCTCTGTCCTCTAGTCCGGCTCCCACTATTAAAGTGTGGGCTAGTTACCAACAATGTTTCGTGCACGGGCAGTACCAGACTCTTAATACCAAGGTATCTTAGCGCTGAGGTAATAAGTATGCATGAGATGAATATCACAGGCTACAGGCAATCTACCGGCTTACCAGCCGCCACAGGTGGAGAGGGTTTAACATATTTCCCATTGCAGATTACATTTTCAAAAACGTCAAGTTTAAAAAGGAACTCCGATTGGTTTTCATTTTTCTATTTGTTTTGCCAGTGTCAAATAGTAGGACACAAGTTTTATTTGGATGTTCATTAAACAAGGATGCTGGAGTTTGGGTGGCAATAATGATTATGAAGATGTAATGACAAATGGGTAATAATTAGTAATAGCTGTGTAAGCATATATCATGTGACGAGTGTTCAAGGTCATTAAGGCCCTGGCGCTCCGTCACAAATGAAGAGAGATACAAATAAATGAAAGAATTGTTATTGAGTTACCTCAAACAAAGAATCCATAGGAAATATTCCGACATTTTGGTGTCACCCCAGTGACGCATTCTATTTCAGAAACAATGTGGCTTTCCGAAATAGTCACTTGCCCATCCAGCAAGATAATGTGGACGGGTATATTTGGTAGCATGAGGCTAGCCCAGTTTCTTGCCGGCTCGAGGCTAATATCTTGCGGAAGGCGGCCTGCACAGCTCAAGAGCAGCTTTCTTGCATCCTCATCTTTGGCAATAAGAACAGAGCCAGCTGCTGTTGGTAAAATCTTGTCAATGTTTGTTGGGGAACAGTCAAACTTACTAATGACTGCTACCCGAATTCCAGCAGTCAAAAGTGACCTCCAATTGTGATTCTTGGGGATCCGAAGTTATAGACCATCCTTCTTCTTTCCTTCTGGCTCCTCCAATCCATGACCAGGCCGAGATAAATTTTTGTAGTTGGAGGACTAGGCAGCTTTGACCAAGTTTCCTTATGCCGGGCTCATTATCTCCGAGTTTCTTTTCCGACAATAACGGCCCAAGTATTAGCTTTAGAGCCACTGGGAGCCGCAGTGCTGAGTCGGTGAGTTTCCACAGGCGTGGGCTTTGCCTGGGGAAATGCTGGCACTTTAGGCAGTACTGGTGGGGCGGCCCCGGGACCTACCTGGATGAATTGGGCAATGGATGCCCGAAGATAGACTCGAAAGTGTTGAGATAGTACCGACAAATAACGGTCATGGTACCGAAGGTGCAAACCCATGCCTAGCACTGCAACATGCATATCTACTGCTCGCCACCAAGATTCGGGCGCGGGAGCGCCCAGGTAAAAACTATACATGGAAGCGATCGGGGTAGCAACACCATAAGCCCCTGGAATATAAGTGCTAGCCGTAAGGGGTCGGGTACTGTTGTGCTGGCTCGGTTGAGTTGTTAGGAGACAGGGGAACAGAGGATGGGCTGCTAGATTAGGAAAGGGTGGAAAATACAGGCTGGTGCACAGACGCTGTTCATGTACTCTACAATCTCTTCACCTGCCGAGTTTAGTGAATTAATCTATCCATGTAATATCATACTTCACATCATCCATTAGATGATATTATCAATCGTCGGGATGCACATCTAGCATCACCTTCATAGATCACCATTGTCAGTAAGAGTTCACATTTGATACCTACTGACACCCATTTGGCCACAGTGATACGCACTCAGTGTCCATCGTGCCATCACCCAGCGTGAGCGCGCCATCTCCGCGACTCACCATTGCACATGAGCCCGTGTAATTCCACCGACAGACAGCAGAGACATAATTGCTATATACCTCACAGCTCATAACCACAACAGGTACCACTCAGCGTATATGCAACAGCATCGAGTGTACAGGTGTATCTCGAGTGTCACTAAAGGAAACCAGTACGGTCGCCCCTGGATCAGCTATTCAGGGGCGCTCAACTAGGGTACTGAGCTGCAATTATAGGAGCAGTGATGCGACTGGCAAGCGGAGGATATACGAGAGCCGCAGGAGCAGCAATGGCCGCTCATGAACCGTGGATTCATGAGCGCTGGATTGGTAATGTGATTACTATAGATAGTCAATCACGAGATGGAACTAAGACTATGACATGGGTCATACAGATGTATATAAGATAGCATATATTCATACTTCTGACAGTATCAAAATCTGTTGAACACATCCTCTACATACTCCAATCAGACATAACAAGTGACAAGTAACTATGTTCCCATATGATTCATAACCTTAACAGAAAGGAGTCAATAAAGTTTTTATGTTCTCCTGTTAGCATAGGAGAAAGGTGTTTTTCCACGACGTTGATGGTTGATGTCAGGAATGCCTACTTTATAATCTATATATGTGGAGATAACCAGAATCTAGTGTTCTATGATTCTGGTCTGGTCTATTGGCCGAGTGCCTGTGCACCTGTCTCATGCATAATGTAGGATGGAAAACTCATGCCTGGCCATCTTGACTTGAACCTTGTCTTGACCCTTGTCTCTGCTCTGCTCTGCTCTGCTGTCCACATGCCGCTTCTGACAGCCGAAGAACAAATTGAGATATTGGCAGCTCCTTCTGCTGTGCGTAGTTTTTCATTCTTGACGAGGACGTCCATCTCTTCTGGGTTAACAGAAATGTTTGATTCCTGCTCCGCATCACTCCCTCTTTCCAGGGATTCATCATGGGCAGAATTGGATGGAGCCCTGGTGATTAAGTCAGTTTCTGGCAGCCTTGTGGGCAAGGCTGCGATCTTTCTAGATGGGGTTACTGACAACCTAGGAGTAGCTGGCAATGGGATCAATTTCTCTGTCTGCTGACTTAGCTCAGGGCTGCCTGAATTAGTTGGGGCAGCCCATATGGAGTCAGATAGGCCTTTGGTGACAAATTTGTCGACGGCCCTGTCAATCATCTCGATCTCCGGGGCATCCATCACTTTGGTGGTGATGGCAGCTTCGGCATTATCAATGTCCATCTCATCAATGGTGATGCCGTACTCCAATAGGCGCAACTATAGACGGAGCTTGGCGTAATCCACCAGCAAGAGCTGGCGTTTTGTAACTCATACCAATGACATGGTTGCCAGCGGTACAATAGGTCCACGGGTTTGAATCTCTCGAGAGTGGTGGGAAGATAAAGATTGATAAGGTGTTGAAGTGAGGTAAGGGTGTTAGATTGCTGTGGAGGCAATTGAAAATGGAATTGCAATTGAATTAAGAGTTGTGACTGGTCCTGTTTTTTTTTTTTTTATATTAAAGTCCTAAGCTAAAGCTCTAGGTCCACTATTGGTACAAGACTGGTGGAGCCGGCGGGGATCACTGCCTACAGGCCCAACTCACTCCAACCGCTGGACTTGCTACAGAAATAGTAGGAAGTAAATTACAATGCAGACAACCCCAACTCCAACTCCTGTTTTACTTGGTATATGAAATGGGGAACGTACACTTGCGTTTGACGGCTAAGATATGATGTTTTATTGAGAGTGGATTGTAGATGACTCTATGGATGTGTATTCTAATTTACAGTGGGAAATACTCCCTTTTTATACCCCATGGACTCTCTTACCAGCAAATCATATGCCCATCATGCTTACTCATCCAGTGTGCCTTGCCTGAAAAAATGCGCCAAACATGTCATGTGAGTTGTCCATGCCTGAGGTACCTTGATGACACACTCACCCTCCATGCGCTACCTGCCAGGGCTACCTTAGCTGAGCACAACAACTCCTAGATCAAAAATCACTACTTTTCCCCTTAACTCTAAATTACTGTAATCTTTCCTCAGAGAATCGACACTTCTCGCCTCGTTTCCTTTCGTGTCATGCATTGTGGTAATGACTAGTTTATCTGATCCCCGCTGAGAGCAGTGGATGAGTGGCCTGACTGGTCCTGTGTGTATCTTATTGTGCTATTGTTATGTTAAATTACAGGTTATCTACGTGATAATTAACCAATTCCACATACTTCCAGATAGCGCTGTAGCTAGTCTCTTTTAGGAGTGATCTACGGGTGAGTGTAGCAATTGGTGGTATCCAATTTATCACTAGCCTGTTTCCATTTCCCTGGATCTGCATGCTACACTACGTGGATGACAATTTACTACTAATGTGAAAAGCGCATTCATGACACGCTGTACTCTCCATGAGTCCATACCGCGCCCTCTGGACGCTGGCCTTGTATTCCGTGAAGTTCTGACACGCCCCCTTCTGCCACGACATATGGGCTTTACCGCAGTTGCAGCAAAGCACCGACTTCCTCGGGCTGTCCCTGGTCTGATGAGTGCCCGCGCACTCACCAAATCTCCTTAACTTATTGTAAGAGGCTTGGGTATGCCCCCATTGACTGCAGTTGAAGCACTGCTTGATTTGTGCTCGGGGTGACAAGAGCTGGTGTCACAGTCTAAGCATAGGCACTTGGGCAACCTTATGGTCAGAGGTAGTTTTATTTTCAAACTATGGTGAACTACAGATTGAAGAGGATAATAACAGTTACTTTATACATGATTATTATCCCAGCCAATGACACAGATTTCTATCCGTATATCCGTATTCCTTACTCGTATTCCCTACTCATATCCCCTACTTGTATTACATTCTCGTGCCCCATCCCCGGACGTGTTATAATATTAGTATTGCCACTTATAAGGCCCTCCTTGTCTCATGCTAAGCTTGTGTTGGACAGCGCAGGCTACAGGCAATTACCGGCTTACAAGCCGTCACAGCTGGGCCGTGTACAGCATTGAGTTGAGGAAAATGCCGTTTCTTATCACTTTGCGTTGAAGTGCCTCTGTTGATAGGCTCGCTACTACTGAACCTCGAGTATGGCCGTTGTGACGGCTGTTAAGCCGAAAGACTCCTGTAGCCAACGCTGGCTAGCGTAGGCTATGGCACAAGGGGAAGGTCTCGGAAGCCACAGAACTTCGAATATTCTCAGTGAACCTTCTGGAAACACACTGAAGGTTCATGAGGATAACAGGTGTACCGAGAACCTTCTAGGTAGTTGTAGAAGCGGCTCAATTATTCAGGTCACAGGGAGAATCATCTTGATGGGCAGTAATTTAGAATATATATATATATGTAGACTTTACATCGAGGAATTCTCTCTCCAGAGAATTATAATTAATATACTGTACTTACAAGATCGCCCAAGCATTTTGTACTGAAACCGTGACAGCCGTTCTTTCTCATCCATTGGTGCTCTTTGCCGTCAAGAAGCCACCTCACCCTGCTGATTTTAAGAACGGGAATCCGAACTTTTGTCTCCTCTGTCATTTGATATATCAATGTGCCGCTGTTGGCATATTTTCCTCCTCGTATCATTGTCCCCAATGAGACTCCCAAAATCTCAACAGGATAATCCTTCTTCAAGACGCAGAACTCATTCGGCTGCACCATCCTCAAGACAGCGTCTCGTTGGGAGACCGACTGCACATACACCTCAGTGTCGTTGCTCTGTATCTGCCTAACAACGTATGCTCCTTCGATATGTTGTTTCCCCTTGTAAAGCAGCTCTACCGGCTGCATCCTTTCTGCTCCTTCAACTCTTATCTGTACTGCCGCTTTGGTGGCTGGCGGTGCGACGATTGATGCATAGGTAAGTCGACCTCCCATTGTAAATAATGGTGTTAACAGCAAAACTAAAATCATAAACAAAACTCGAAAACTTAAATCAAATTCAGAAGAAATCACAATTAGGACCGGATCCGGCGCTTCTAGCCTGTTCCCTTTCCTGTCACATCTTCCAAGTGACAATTTCTGATCTTTGCTGAGAGCAGAAGATGAGCTTGCAGACACCCTTTTTCCATCTGGTGTCCTACTGTTAGTGTGTTGAAGCCTCGACGACTTCACTGTGGCTGGCCGCAACCTCAAACCTCCTCTTCGGATTCCAGAATTCCAAACGTCAATCTGTCCAACATGAAGACGTCATTCTTTGAGCCGTGAATTGCCTGAATGGCTATTTCGGCTGCACCTTTGATACGAGCATAATCTGCGAGATTTTTTTGCTCGAACATGCAAATTATTGTGAGCTGCTCTTTTTCTCACCGGGCCAAACTTGCTGTGACAGAAATTGAGTTAGTGATGAATAAATCGATTTAATAAACTATATGAGGAAAAAAGCTAACTCTAGATACTACTAACAGGTATTTATAAGAGTTTATCCTCCTCGTGAATCTACAGACTGATGACTTATCCTTAGGCACAATACTTCTTACCCAGCCACATATTTCCAGGTGTCACTAAGTTGTAATAACGCTTCAGCCTCCTGAGTAGTAGTCCCGTTTCGTTCAGCTTCATCTCCCCCTCATACAGGCTCATAGTAAGAATTATTAGTAACAGGCTTAGGTATCCACCTAAGCTCAAACAACGGTCAAACCGTAACAATCATCAACAACGTGCCGGCAACAACAAATTCTTCACCTTCCAGTGTTGTTAGTGTAATCGCTCAGTATGCTCTGCACATCTAGGATGGCCAAGGAAAATCGCTTCCGAATCGAAGTCGAAAGTAACCTCAAGCATTAAAACTCTAAGACATCTCGACAAAATTTTGATCTAACATTCTCAAGTGAGTCCTCCACCTCAACCTTACTATACCACCTCGCCTCAAATACCGATTATGGTGTCACTCCAATTACAATCGGGCTTTTGGTTCATCAAAAACCGGCCATCTCCCACTACATATTTACGATGCTATGTATACCCGCGAGGAGGAAGTCAAGTCATAATCTACAAATCTCGGGTCTTGGTCTATTGGGGACTGTTGCTCTTATGGGGCTTCACACCTTAATTGAGAGTAGGCAGCTGGGACGTATGACAAATGAGTGAAGAGGTCACAAATGGGTATACTGGGATTCGGATTTTTCGAGTGTTTACGACTTAAGGGTGTCTGTGTGCGCAGAGGCAACGATTTCGGATAGTGCAACCGAAACTTCAAATACTTATAACAATGGAAGGCATCTGGACCGCCTTCTGGTCGTCATCTCCCCTGATTAAAGTCTGGGTAGCCTGGACATCTATCTCACTCGAGAAAGGGAGGACTGTGAGGCTATATCTCGCGCAGTGAGTATATCCAAGATGACAAAGGCATGTTTGGCAACCAAAGGTCTTTCCTGCTTTCAATTTGGTGGATATTAACGATTGAGGGAAGTGAGAGAGTCCCCAGCACCAAGGTCTCGAGTGGTATCAGCAAATGCACTCACTTCATGAGTGATTTAAACGTCAAACCTAGCTATCGTCGTATATAATTGTCGGGGAAGGACTAGCCTCCTCCATGTCATGCTCTATCAGTGCAAGGCTTGCGCCCGTTGTTGAAATCGGCGCTACTTGACAATGGAAAGTCGCATTAACATTGGACGTAAAATGGTTCTATTATTACTAGCCACATTCATGACGACTCATATATTGACCAGCCTACCAATTATTTAGCATAAACATGTGAACCATGTCCTTCACTTAGATTTAGTAATTAGTTGAAATAGCGCTCTAATACTAAGTGGGTTTAATTAACAACTGTCCACTGTAGTTTTCAGAATCTTCAATCTCCCAACTCGCTTCACTAGGTGATATTAAACCCAAGTACAACAGCTTAAGCTTCTCTATACAACTTCCATTACAAAACCCCTCACGTATGAATATTCATCTATCTGCAATACCTAAATCATAGGACTTGAGGTACTGACGCAGACTACCGATTAGGAGGGCAAGACTGAACACCTGTACGCGGTGACCTCTACGAACCTGGGAGTGAAATATTCTCCCAGAGCCAAGTTCAGTCAACTTTCGCAATATCAAAGAAGTTGGCCCACGAGGCAACAATTCAATTTAGTCCTCCACGTCGTTTTTTCGCTCCCATAGAGTTTGACTCCTACCTAAGTCTCATCAAGCCTACAAGTACGACCAAGTACATCCTCATCCCAATGACCACACCACTCTTCGACCTTCTCTGGCCTCAGTTGACAACTAAATACACGCCCACGCCGATATTTACACCCAACGGAGGAAACAAAGCGTGGCGCAAAAATCTGAGAGACAGTTCTTTGGAACGGACGTGAGAGGGATCAGGACAAGTTTACAAGATGAATCAAAGGAAGGAATTGACCTCGAAGGGCGTGAAATTCCGAATTTTGGCTAGGAGTTTTACGAATTGGGCTTTGTGCGCGCCAAGACTTCGCTTGCGAGAGTGCAGCTGACACTATAATCACAAGTCAACGATGGAATGTGCCGTGGTCCGCCTCCTGGTGGTGTTCTCTGGTATGGTCTGAGTAGCCTGGGCGCCTACTCCACTTGGGAAGGAGACACCAAAGACCATATTTCGCGCGGAGAAAAGTTGAAAGATGATGGAGGCATGTCTGGATAACTCAGGGTTTTTGAGACGTTCCCCTGGGTGGGTATTCACGGATGGGGGTTGACTTGGGGTGAAGAAAAAGCCGCCATAACTTCGCAGTGGTACTTGCAAATGAAATCCGAAGCATGAGTGCTCTCCCTTTACGTTGAATCATCTATTCTGTACTTTTCTTTGATATTGTGTCATAGCTAGATAGCTGCAGACGCAATTAAAATCTGATGCAAAAAAAAAGAAAAAAGACTACCGATTACTTCAATCTTATTTTATCAAGGCTAGACTATAATCAAAGTTGCGTCTAGATTATGAGGACTAACTGCCGCATTCTATTTTAGCTAGTCTCAGCTGGCTTTCACATATGCACATGATGCCTTAGACGCCTACTTGAAGATTCAGATCGCGTCAGTCGGATTTTGGAAGAAGGATGTGAGAGACTGGAGATATGGGCCGAACTTGGATGAAATTCGCCAAGAATAAGGCGATATTTAATAGCGATGAAGAGTTTTTGCAGGCCAAATTTGGATCCCAAAACATCAGACTACACCTGAAGAACTATCAAAAATGATGCCGTATTCCAGCTAGATTTGGCTTTCCCAAGAAAATTACAATTACAAAACAGGAAATAATATTCTTTGCAATGAAGGGATAGGGAGATGATGGCTTACTGCTGTTGCTGAAATGTTCTCATGACTCTTTCCATACGGAAGTATTCGTTGTTGGAGGAGTAACATCTGGCTCTAATTTTCAGTGATATTAGAGAGTTAACATTAGGAATATATCCACTGGTGAAATTTAATTTTATTTTCACATTCATTTTCATAATCGTCGGACAAGCATCTACAGCTTTTTCTTTACTTGAGATGTGTTGGACGAGCAAATGAGATTTTTATCGTAATTTAAGGTAAGGCTGATATAGTGTGATAAGTAGGAGAAACCTAAATATCCTGGAAATCTTCTGCAATGAATTATAATTTTAATCAATTGGCCAACTATTTCCCCATCATACATAAAATTTATCTGCAAATTTGTGAGATCCGCAAACTGTATTTTTTTTAGTATTTGTGGCTCTCAAAATTTTGCTACAAGATACTCTGATTCCGAGCAATTAATGATAATTTGCAAGTTCAGATTCCTGATGATTGTCCTCGTCTTATTTATTGATGACCAACTGAATAGCTAAGCTCTTTAATATTTACCTGTACGTTATAAATAGACTCTGTCGGCGATATTAGCAATAGTTAATTATATTTCATGACAATAAAAGTACCCTTGTCTTCACTGATTTTTACTAGTATCTTTGGTTACGACCTCTAATTTTTTTCCTCTTTTGAGGTCTCGCCCTGGTGATCTCCTATCGCTCTCATATAAATCAGCTTTTTTTTCTTTTTTTTCGTTTGGTGGTGAATCTGCCGAGGCGTTTTGACGTCTCCTGTTTACTGGCTCATATCGCTGGATGGAACGTCTTCTCTTCCTTATTCTCTCACCATGATCCCTGCTCCGACTCCGATTTCTCCAAGAATTTCGACGTTCATGAGGCGTAATGCTTCGACTACGAGTTAGTCGATACTCGTTGTGACCACGGTCTCTCCGGGTCTCTGGTTGCTTATTTGGCACATGATTATCAGAATCAGGTGAGGGGGAGGCTCTTGTTCTTGCTCTACTTCTAGATCTGCGGCGGCGATGTGTGCGAGTTGGAGACCTCGAGCTGGACGAGGAGCGAGATCTCGATCTGACACGACGTACCCGGCGAGATATTGATGGAGATGGGCTTTTGGTTTTTGGTTTGGGTCTTCTACGTTTAGCTGGGCTGGGCGATCGAGAGTACGAGCGAGATCTAGATGAATTCGAATAGCTTGGAGATCTTCGTGCTGCACGCCTTTCAAAACCTTTACCTTTCGCTGACCTTTCACCACGGCCACGGTATGAATCGACGCGTCTCGGTGGCGTTATTGATTTACGTCGGGGGATAGGTGAGCGATTTCTTGACGGAGACTGAGGTCGCCTCCGAGTTGGACTGCGAGATCGAGATCTTGTAGCTGACGAAGATCTAGAATCCGAGATAGATGTCTTCCTTCTTTCAAATCTGTGTGGAGGTATATATGTATCAGGTCCTCTGATAGGACGAAGAGAATCCATTTCTCGAGAATCTCTCTGACGTGGTGGTGGTGATCTTGAATAGCGTCTGGAACGTCGGTCAAAAGCTCTCCCGTTGTACCTATCAATCCTCCTGCGATCAATATCTCTATCTGCGAATCCACCACGCCAGCTGTCTCTTCTTCCGCCACGAGAATTTCGGTCACCATATTCTCCACGCTCCCCACGATTGCTACGGTCTTCACGTTCGTTTTGTCGGCTTCTTATTTTGCTGTTATCCTGCTGTTGATGCTGTTCAGCTTCTCGCTTTTTACGAGCTTCTTCTGCGGCCTTCCCAGCTTCGAGCTATATTGCAGTAAGTTTCAGGTTTAGATTCTAGTTGAGCTCGTACCTTTTCTTGAATTAGTTCTAACTTTTTCGCTTCTAGCAGTTCTTTAGGCACTCCTTGGGGATTTTCTTGCGCACTTAAGCACAATTTCCATAGTTCTTTGCAGAAGCCAGCGGTATCTTTATCAAGAAATCCGGTTAGCTGGATTTGTGTTTTTTTTATATCAGGCTAGGATCTAATTAGCTAAAATATAAGCCTATGCATTGGAATGATTTCTTACATATCTTGATCCTTCAATGAGATTAAAGCACAATTCAATAACAACATCGTCATCATTTCCCAAGATCTCCGAAATCTTGCCTGCAATCCACCTGGTCTACAAGTTAATCGCTTTAACATTCATTCGAACAGCTTCTAGCTCACTTTTTCATAACTTCGGCGTTGACCTTCTGCATATCCACCTTCTGATTAAATTCGGGAGGAAACTTTGTGGATTTCAATAGTTTGGCATCAACACTACAGGCCATATTTATCAGTGTTTAAGCCTCCGTGGCTTAGTACAACTCCCTTCAATGAAATTAATCGTGCATAACCTGTGGTTTAAAATCAGTACTAAGCGGACGTGTACTCTATCGTCACTGACAGAGACCGGCACTATTGGCACGGATGCATGGAAGTGCTCGCTTGGTGGCCTTTATGGCCTCAGGATATAATTTATATGATTATGTAAGTAAGAATCAAGAGGAGAGGTATGTGTATGTTGAACTTTTTTATATTGCGTCAGACTTTAATTTCATATACAGCTATCTAGCTACGATACAATATCGAAAAAAGTGTAAAGAAAAGATGACTCCATCTACAAGAATGGCACTCATACCTCAGATTTCATTCGTAATTATCACTGCGAAGTTATGGCGGCTTTTTCATCCAAAGCCAGTCCTTGTCCGTGAACACCCACTCAGGGAAACGTCTCAAAAACTCTGGGTTATCCAGACATGCCTCCGCCATCCATTAACTTTTTTCTGCATGAAATGTGACCTGAGGTGTCTCTTTCTCAAGTAGAGTAAGTGCCTAGGCTACTCAAACTATACCAGAGAACACCACCAGGAGGCAGACCACGGCACCTTCCATCGTTGACTTGTTTTTATAATTTCAGCTGCACTCTTTTTTGTTGCACTACTTGAGTCGTAGTTAATCTAGCACATGGAGTTTTTCTCTGGCCCAAGCAAAGCCTTTTACAGTGCTTCTACCCTCTTTTGTTACTTCCAAGATCTTTGATATATTGCCCGTGATGGATAGTTATCCAGCTCAGTATTTACCGTGGAATTCAGCCGCCTTTTCCACGGGAGCTTCGACCCAAAAAAACAAAAACAGTAGCAATAGAAACTGCGTGCGCGGGTAAAAGTCTCGGATAATCTGCAGCACTAGTCAGACGAGGCCTAGAAATCGGAACTATATGAGGTGAGCATATTCATCTATATCTCCCTTCTCTGTAACCGCTTTCCGTTAAATTTATTGTTTCACTCGGACTAGTAGTTCGGCACCTCAGTCACTCTCTGCATTTCACTCGCAAATACCACTATAAGTTATGCTTGATTATTGTCATGGATTTATAGCTGAATACAATATGACTTTAACAAAAAAAGAGAGATTCTTGCTAACACATCTGTGTCGACGTTCCTCCGTGATTACCCACCAAAGAAAAGGATTGAAACCTTGGATTTTACAAGCATGCCTTTGTGATCCATGCATACGAGCAGCGCGAGAATTATGGATAAATCTTGCTGTACTCGAGCCAGCGATCTCCTCTCTTAAGTGGGATGTGTCAGGGCTATACAGACTTTTCTTGGCAGACTGGTCAAGTCGATGTACCACAGCACCATCCAACTACATCGGTGTTGAATTTTGACCTGTAATGCCAAAGTCGAAACTTTGACGCACCTACAAAGCTCAGTTTTAAAAACTCCTTGCCACGATCGAAAACTCATTCAATTCGAGCTTGTATCAAGCGTTAGAATCATCTTGTCAACATGTTGTCCACCCCTATCGTTTTATGCCCGTGGTGGGTCTTCAAAACCATCCAATTTAAAAGTTTTGCCGTAAATTTTTGGGCTCTGAAGTTAGGACCATTTAAGCATCATGTTTCTTCCAGATGCCGGATGGTTCTAAATCTCAATACCAATTAACACAATCCCAAACATTCTCCGGCTCTCACTATTGAGTCTGTAGAGCCGAGATTGAGGAACAACTTCGTCCCCTCTTTGGCAAGGTTTACCAATCGCTGTCGCGATCTGTATCGTCTTCATCTTTCAGCACAACCCCTATCACCATTATCATAAAGCTAACCTTATCGACTTTAAACTTGATGTCGGCTTTGTATATGTACGTCTGTTATCACAAACATTGGAAATAACTCATGAGAGGCTGGGATTGATTCCTATATTACTTCGTAGAAAACTTGTACCAACCATCAGAGGGCTACAACGTCTTTATTTATCTAAAGGCAAATTCCCCATTTTACATCCACGCTAGCCGTACAGGACGTAGCATATAGAACTTGATTCGCATCATCAGTTTGGGGTTGAGGTTTACCGTGCATTTTGCCACTTGAGTCGCATGTCTGCTTAATGTGAGACACGCTCAGGTATCAATCCAAGAACCCACACCAAACCGATACCACTCACAGCCCTGATTATGACTCCATGAACAATTGTTGTAGCCTGAAACATAGTACAATCAGGCTAGAAATCGTTGATCAGGATCTAATCCGAGTAAAACTACTTGTCAGGAAATTTCATATGAATTCTTTGTTTGAGGTAACTAAATAATAATTTCATTCATTCATTCATTCGTTTGTATCTATCATCATTTGCGAGGGAGTGCCAAGGTCTTGATGACATTGATAACTAGGCACATGAGATATGCTTATGAAACCATTACTAACAACAACCCACTTGTTATCACATCATCAGAATCATTTTTATTGAATTCGATGTTAAATTATAAGAAGGGTTGGTCAAACATAATCATCCCTACAATTTAAGATAATGGAGTTAGGGTTGTGGTTATTGGTTGCCTAGCAGTTAAAAAGGGTAAGGCGTCTGTTGATTTTATATACCCTGTATTAGTAGTTTCATATTAGCGTGTGGATGAGACTAGGAGCGATAGATTAGAGGGTGCGAGATCGCGATACTTCTAAAAAGCGCGTAGACGTAGAGACGAAGACACACGCAACGATTTAACCCTATACTTTATCAAATCTACTTCCAAATATTCCAGTAACAGTACTACTGTATTACCCGTCCAGAGGAATCATATTCTAACATTCGAATTTGATTTCAATTAATCCTATTTGGCACCCTATGGACCCATGCAGGCGGCTATGAAACTATTTATATATTTACATGAGGAGGAAAGCCATAACGATAAAACCCCCTCCCCCTATTAACTTTTATTTTCATCTATAGTCCTTCGTTACCTACAGGAAGTGAAATTAGTCTTTGGTCCGAGACAGGACTAACTAAAGTTGAAATTTACCTCGCCATCCCTTCCTTGCCCTCGCGTGCTGAAAAGAGATGACTGTGGTCTTGGACTTGACCCCGATGGTCCAAATACTTGTGGTGAGGGATTGGCCAGGAGCTGTTTGCGCGGGCGTCCTGGCCCTCTCTTGAGTACCTCCGGCTTTTGGTGGGACATAAGTGTGAACCCTTGGTCGTCTGTTGCTTTTGCATTGTGGTTAATGTAGATACCGCGCGTAAAAACTCTCTCCTAAGTTCTGCTGTACATTCCATCAGATCGTACCGTGCCCGCTAAATGATGCCCTTTTATGCTGCGAGGTTCTGATATGCCCCCTTCTACCACGATTTATATTCCTTGCCGCAGTTGCAGCAAAGTAGCGATTTTCCCGGGCATTCCCTAGTCTGGTGAGTGCGTGGGCACTCACCAAATCTCCTTGCCTTATTGCAAGAAGCTTGGGTACGCCCCCATTGACAGCAGTTAAAGCACTGCTTGATTTACGCTCGGGGTGACCAGAGCTGGGGCGTGCATAGCATTGAGTTGTACAAGATGTCATTTCTTATCATTTCGCGTTTAAGTGCCTCTGTAAACAAACTCGCGACAATTGATCCACGAGTATGGCCGTTTCTTCCCAACCATCGGTGCTTCTTTCCGTCGAAGAGCCATCTCACTTTATTGACATTTAAATCGGGAATCTGATCTTTTGATTCTGCCACAATTTGGTTTATAAATTCACTGTTGATTGAATTTTTTCCTCCTCTTCTAAATGTCCCCAAGGGAATCCCCAAAATCTCAACAGGGTAGTCCTGCTTCAGGACGCAGAACCCCTTTGGCTGCGCCATACCCAAGGTAGCGTCTCGCTGGAAGACCGACTGCACAAAAACCTCCGTATCATTGCTCCGCAGCCTCCTTACTGCGTATGCCCCCTCAATGTGTATTTTTGCCTTGTCTAGCAGCTCTGCCAGCTCCATGTTTTCTGCACCTTGTAATATTATCTTTACTGCCGCTTTAGTCGCTGGCAGTACGACGATTGAGGCGTATGTGGGTCGCCCTCTGTTGTGTTATCCATGTAACTCACAATGGTACATGCTTTAGGTCGCGTCATAGCATATGCACGTGACTGTGGAACTAAACCGTGTGGTGTTTAGTGTGTAATACATGTTTGTTTGTTTATTAATTTAGGTCCTAGGCTATACCCGTTATCCCCTAAGGGTCAAAGACCGATGTTCACAGCCAAGATCATATCCCTGATAAGCCAAACTTGATCCCACCGCTTGAACCACTACACAAATAGTAGCTAGTATAAAATTCGCACTGGTACAAAAATTCAACCTTTAAAAAACCAAACTCCTAACCACAAAACTATCCAGCTCTGTAGATTTACCAATCTCTGGTTCGGAAACAAATCTCCTCTACTTGTCTTTCTTCCTGTCATATCATCTGTATGACTAATTTATATTGTCCCCGATGAGATCAGAGGACGAATTTGTAGATGGCAACCCAAAACAGCAGGTTTCCTTCTCAAAAATTTTGAAAAATTCGTGACACTTTGGCCCGAGAAGTTTTTGGATAAAGCCACTATGTGACGATCTCCCTCTGAGTCGACGCGTGACGTGAGCGTGTAGTCGACAGTGAATAAAATGGGTAGGAGTGGTCTCCTCCCCACAGGCGCACTCCATTATAGCGTCCAGATTGTTGAAACGGCGATGATGCGCCGCGAAATTGCCATGTCCAGTACGAGCTGCAATCAGATTTCGGAGTAGGAACCTCGAAAGTCCCAGCTCAGGTGGTTTCCTTCGTCGCATGAGCAGGTCGAGCTTGCGATATCGGGGCGGGCAAGCTTCGTTCCACCAATCGTCGAGTAACGCCTGCCGCAGACGATTCATTTGGCCATAAAGAAATGCCAGAGTGATGGATTCTGGATGCATTTCCGGGCTCGGCAGCATTCGTAGGCCAGACCTGGCGGCCGAGTCGGCTTCCAAGTTACCCTGGATTCTTGAGTGCCCGGGAA